TTCTGAAAGCTGATAGCAAAACATCGCACGAGCTAATGCTGCGCAAATCATCCAAGAAGGAAATCACCTTTCACAAGCCGTGCTGGTCCGGAGTATTTCGTTTCGCAGCCATCAAAAGTAAGGCCAGGCCTTCATCCATTTTCCAATGAAAAGGCTTATCTGCCAGTGGCGCCGTTGTAATGCGTTTCCCCGTGCGGGCTCTTGACTCGATTTGTGGAAAATAAACTGCCTTTGAGGCGCGCTATGCGGAGCTTATCTTAAGTTCAGCCGAAGGAAAACAGGCCACCACGGACGACAGGACCCGCGGCACGGAGGAAGGCAAAGAACGATGGCCTACCGCCAGCTTTAATGCTATCGCTCGCGTCCTGAGATCGCGCTCGTTCTCGCGCAAGCATGGCTACAGTTGTGTTATGAGGAAGAGCAATGATGGCAAATAAGAATGTTTCCCAATGAATGCAAGGCGACTGAGAGAACTCAGTTGCCTCAGCGGCTTTACCGCCAGCTAGACTAGTCCATGAACGTAATCAAATTACGCGACGGCTTCTGTCGCAGTGGTTTATCGGCCTTGTCGGCGCTAATTCAATTTGTTTAAAGTCAATTCAATCCCACCTGCTGCCCCGTAAGCAGCATTTGAACTCCAAAGGATCTTTTGTTTTAAACGAACAAGAACAAAACAAAACAAAAAACGCACGCACATCACATGGCTCGGCGTACGATTCAAAAATCCCTCCACGGCGTGGATTCTTACAGTATTCATCACACACATACACTCAAAGAAGTCACCCATTCCCAATCTCTCCCAGGCCATAAACCTCGCTTCACCCATTCTCTCACCAGATGGTCCAGACCGGTGACCAGGTCCATGAGGTGGTTGTTCTTCTCGACGCCCCGGTCCTCCAGGCGGTAGATGAGCCGGTCCAGGTCAGGAAAGTCGCGGTTCAAGTCCACACCGTTGGCGTTGGGACGGCCCGTGATGTAGTTGCGACCGCCCTGCCGGCGGCGCAGTGGAAGGAACGTCACGTGCTGATGGCGCGGTAAGCTCGCAGCGTAACTAGCTTGGCGTTGTTGGGAATTACAGTGTTCTGCTGTTGCATCTTCGTAATTCCGAGATGTTGCGTGAAGGTAATGTTGTAGCGTTCTAGTATTGTTGCAGCTTTGTGCGTTCTCACTGATGCACCGTTATTCTGTTGTGTTTCTGTAATGGATCAATTCAGCCCCCCCCTTCCCCCCGCCTCTTTCTTTGTTCTGTATAACTGCACCACCTCGTCTGGTCGGGCATATGCCGCGGCCGTAGCAATGAGTTGGCGTCATTGTCGGCCGGTTTAGAAGCCCCATTACCTGATTGGGAGCCACAGCACCCTGATTCAAGTTCCTTTCGTGGAAAGTCTCCGTGCTAGCGGTTACTCGTGGTGACCGCAGTATCAATCCACTTTTACATTTCCTTTATCATCTTGTTTTACTACATCCTTCACTTCTTTTTCACATCGTGCCTTCACAGCTTTTTATATTACATGTACTTTATTATGAAATTATCCTCGCTGGCCGAAAGAGCTCGAATCTAATAACATGCAACATGATGCGTACGTTAGATGATAGTTATGCCGGGACGCTGATTTTTGCAATGCTCTCGTGCTATGTGCTCGTCGTGGTCTATGTTTTGTACTCGCTTCGTTAAATGTAGTGTTGCATTAGTGCAATACAGAAACACTATGTTCTCGTAATGCAATAACGTTGTAAAATCATCATGTCTTAATGCTACGAACTAGTTTCATGGTTGTGCATGCCCATGAGGGTAAGATACTCTTGGCAGCAAGCCGTAGTTACCGTAGTGTGACAATTACGGGCTCATGTGCGCGTGTTCTACAGCACCTAGAGCAACCATAGATATATTAGGTTAGAGCTACGGCGCTGAGGTTTGGACATTAACAGTTTGCAGGTCAACGACCGGTCCGTCGACCGCTACTCACACGAGACAAACCAATACAAAAATTCATTTCCCCGCCCTTTAGACGAGTTCATGAATCATCTGCGCTCCTTCTCGGCTCACAGTCACACATGCGCGGACCCATATAGGTGAGATGGATCGATGCCATTTCGCTGGACCGGCGGCCACCCCGGATATGGTAGCAACGTGGAGTTGACGGTCATGCTTCGGGGTGACCGTTGTGGCAGCCAACGGCCGTGGCGTTGGGTTCGCGGGCATGGCTGGCCTTTAAAGGCATTGTTCCAGATTTAGGTGGGATTTTGACCTGAAACAGCCACCCTGAAGGGCTTTCGGTGCAGCTCACAACCCTGTCCTTTTTAAGACTTAAGCCTTTCTTGTTTATGAGCTACACGCCCGCGAAAGTGCGGAGGGTATTTCAGGGAGAATATTTCAAAATCACCCTGACATTCATGGCGTCATAATGTCATGCAAATCCTGTCATTCCATAAGCCATGTGGTGATCGAGGCCAATACAAATGTAATTGTCGAGGCGTTCATATCCGGCGTTCGTGAGCACAATTTTCAGATGTGTAAGCCGTCATTGGCCCTCAATCAATGCTGCGCAAGGCACAGTGGTGTAATCAAGCCATGACGCACTGAGGGAAGTATTTACTTAACAGAAAATTGTGCTGTCTAGAACAGCATTTTCCCTTAAAAAGTATACTAATAGCTATAAGTAAACTTTTTTCATCCAATCTGGCGCGTGCTTCAATACCCTCAAATGTGAAACATCCTCTTCAAGAGAATCCCGGATGAGCTGCTGCGGATCGAGACGCGGACAGATCTGAGCCGCCGTAAACGTCCTTAGTTCAGCGAACCAGAGAATTAGGGAAAGACGCGCTGCACGCCTGCGTGTTAAGCCGTGGATTCTAACCGCAAGCGAGTGTTCAAGGATGTCAAACAAGGGTGTCGAAAAGAGAACTGTTGTAGTGTATATGCGGTGTATGCATCCACGTCTGTTACTTAAGGCGTCCGATCAGAAAATCTCGAACGATGGGTCCCTTAAAAATCCAGTAACTAAATCCAGTAACGGATCAAAGTAAATCGATCCGTCCGGTATGATATTGCTCTTTAGGAGACGAAGCAGAACCACACCCACACTCTTTATCCGGCGGGTGCGACTTCACTGCGGCTTGTGGAAGGCGATCAGTGACGTCATAATAGCTGTGGGGGCGTTACGAACCGAATCAGACGGATGGCTTTGACAACGCTGAAACAACAGTGAGTCGACGGCTGTATCAACTAATAGTCTTTCAAATCCGGACCCGCGCCGCCATTACGCCAATCGATGGTGTATTTTCAGCTGCGCGGTGGCAGTTAAGCGACCACTTAAGTGCTTAGAAAACGTGTCCAGGCACTAACCTGATTGGTCAGTGTACTGCAACTGTCCTGCCTGAACTAATCTTATAAACAATGCTAGCTGTCTGCCTTCAATATCGCCGCAATCCGACAAGATTTTTTTCGACAGCACGGCCAGCATTATGCCAGAATGGAGTTTGGCAGCCGCTGCAATCTGTCAGCACCCATAAAGCACAGCATTGTTGGTTGAGAGGTGCTATTTTGGCAATGACCGATATTTATTACACCAGGAGGTGCTGGTTACATGATGTCATGAAGCATGAATCGGCTATATGGACATGGGCTATACTGAGTTTTGTTCAGTTATCCAAAGCTGTCTTGAAAACGGCGTTTAACTGGCACCCCTGGTAAAATTAAGATCTATTATGGGCAGAGCAGGATATTTCAACTGGCAATGTTGAGAACCTTGTGCTCAGGCCCTCGTTGCTTGCAATGAGTAGCGGACAACATCCACATTAACTGAATGAATGCCTTATTGTTAACATTTATAAACCGAACCAAACGCGCAAGCGCAGGCAACGCTGGGGCCCGTGCACAAGATGCCACTGGCAATAATCTCAACCCAGAAAAGCAAAGGACAGGCAGTGCGCCACTTAACACGGCAGGTTACCCTCGAACCGCCGCGAGGCGCACCAAGGTGTTCAGGGTCCCGGGGAAATCACTAACGGAGCATGTTACCTCAATGATCTCTTTTACAAGAGTCAACTGACCCCACCGACCCACCTGACACCACCAGAGATTTTTCGAGTTTGCTGGCGTCTCAGTAGGGTGTTTTGGTTTTGGAAAACAGAGGTGCGGGGTTTCGATTCTCCGCGGTACCCGCCGTTCCCCTCAGAGTGAGAGACAGGTGACGTCACACAGCCTCAGCTGTTGAGTGCGGCGTTAAGCCCAGTAATCAACTGCCAGTGCTTTTTGTTATGAGTAACGTTAACGAACTTTGAGGTCATGTGAACCTACTGATGGTATGCTGGCGACTTTTCAGCGAACCACGAAGAACATTAAGGCTCAAATGGAAACTGATCACGACTCTGATGAAGCATTTAGATGATGTGTGCATGACATGATCATTCAAGTTTTGTTTTGCATCATTACCGGCCTCAGATGCGCACATTTTCAAAGTACCTATATGACGGCATTTGCGACTGTTAATTTCATTGGTTTTTATATTCACCACCATTTTCTCGAATTCACCAAGTGCAAATATATCTGAGTTATTATCATTTTGACAGTATCTAATACTACAGTCAAAGAATAACTTAAAGAGAGGGTGAAGGGTTCATTTTAAGATCAGCATACCATTTTAAAAGAGCCCGCTCATACGTCATATAATCGGTACAGATGGGCAAGAGCTCAAGGGCGACAGGCAGCTTCAGTCGCCACAACTTAGTCGTATGCTTGGAACTGAACGAGCTTTACCGTTTTACAACTATCGCTCACCTTTGAAGCCAGCGACCCCCACAATCCAGTCTGCCGACCACTCAAGCACACTCTGATCCCCTTCCTCACCATGGCATGCACGTAACACTCTCAGATGCAACACTGGCTCGGACGCTGGAGCATGGAGCATGTTGCATGATTGCAGTTGGCGCGCCCTTACCACTCAATAAGTAACGAAACGAACACACTCGGACGGCCGTCCGCAGCGACACGGGCTTACATCCTCGGTGGCGATCTGCCAGCCGTCTGGGTTCATGCTGGGCATCAGGTGGATCCTGGTCCGGGTCAGGAGGCGCATGACCTGCCGACGGGGGCGTTATGACGTCAGATCTGCTCGCCGATCGGTTGGCAACAGCGTTCGACTCAGCTCACGAACAGAGCCACGGTCGGCCCGGGTGCATGTGCAGTGTGTATTGCGTAAGATGTGATGCGTTACGCGTAATGTGCAATACGTTACGTGTAATGTGTAATGTGTAATGCGTTCCAATACATGCATAAGCAGTAATCCGCCGGGTAGGGTGGTGAGGACGTTTTGATTCTTGCGTGGCTTTCGCCAGCTGGCGCATACACCCGAAAAAAAACGGCACTCGCATACACCCGGGTACCAATGGAGGCAGATCCAGGGAGCTTGGAGCGGGCCGTGGCCCTCCCCAAGATATTCCAAGATGGGCTTAAAATGAAGTGTTTCTAAGTTGTGAAAAACTCAAACTGCTTTGACTGAGAGGATGTTGTTTTAGGGCGCCGCAACAGGTAAAAGGATGCGAAATCAGGTGAGATTTTTTTGAAAATCAGGACGCTGATCTCCATTGTTTTCTTCAATTCAAGGTTGTCATCTCAGGTGGTGTTCTGGACCCACCCTTGGCTACCGAGTCGAACAAGTACGGTGGCGAACGTGACCCGGGGATGCCGCGGTATTATGGTACCTCTTGCCTGCCTTCTTAATCCTCGGGTGGAAAATGGCCAGCGATCGCCAAAACAGCTCTAACTTGTAACCGATCCAAACAAAAATCATTGTTGTATAAATTTGATCTGAAACCTTTGCATGGATGTATTTCTGGGATCAGAGCTCATACTAAGCGGTGCTTGCTGTGTGAGCCCTGACCCCCACCATCCGACCGCGCGATTCCAGGCAGCGGCAGAATTTGGTAGCGAAAGCTTAACGCGCCGCAATGCTCGGCACGGTCCATCCTGCCCTCTGACGTCAACTGACCTTTAGCGGGACCGCCGCCACCGGCCGCAGGCCATAGCTGTCAAGGGCGATAAAAGGCTCCTTGTTCCTTCATTCGCCTACACTTTTCTGCACTCTGCGCGTCTGAGGCAGAGTACACCCCTCGCTTGTGTTGCGGGCCTTGAGTAGCACCTTGCAACAAGGGCGCCGGGGCCAGAGGGACAGGCACCATGTCGCCACTTGGTTCCCTACGTGGGCCGCTATCTGGCCCCCGTCACTGGTGCAGTACGTGATTTCAAACGTTCGTAATCGTGACTCATGAGATGAATTGTGGCTGCGATGGTGAGCGGTCCAGCACCAGGGTCACGAAGTCCAGGACCGGGGTCACGCGGTCCAGGACCAGGGTCACGCGGTACAGCGCCAGGGTCGCGCGTTCCAGCGCCAGGGTCATGCGGTCCAGCGCCAGGGTCACGCGGCGAGCCTCCAGCTCAACAGACTCGCATACAAACAGACACGTCAACGACGATGTCCGATTACGGCTACAACGACGATTCCTGATGACGACGACCACGATGCCTGATGACGACGACGATGACGACCCGTCTCAACAGCGGCGCGGGAGTTTCATGGTTCAGACATCGAAGCGTCCGTCACCATCGCTCATAGCGTCCGGGCCATTATGTAATAACGATGCTGACGCTCCGAGTCGGCCACTGACACAACAACATGTTTTTATGTCATACCGCACGCACGGTTGGCCAAGTAGAACAAAAGAGTGGTCCACCAACAACACCGATCGCCGTGCATGTTGGATTTTTATGGTTTCCCGAGAACCCCAGCAGGTATGAAAAGAGTGAGAGTGAGCCGATCAAGATTAAGAGTAAGTAGAGTAAGATCTAAGAGAGAGAGAGCAAGAACTAAGAGTAAGCTGATCAAGAGAATGCGTCAGACAGAGATATTATTGAAACTAATGACCACAATGACTGGAGAATCAAAAGCAAGCTCGAAAGTGAGAGTGTTCAAAATAAGCTATAAAAAATGTCATCAACCCGCGAAACCCCACCCTATTTAACCTGTCCGTGATCAGTTGTGGATCGCACTAAGCGGCCGAACTATTATAAACGCATCGATGACTCTGTAACAAACACCATTTGCGCGTGAGAAATGAAAAAACTCCTTCGTCTATGTCACACGCAATATACAATGGATTTCGTGAAATGCAACACGTCGCTATTATGCCCCTGGAATTGCCGCACCAGCTCCCTGGTGTAATGGCATAGCGCATCGCCGTCCTCACTCCGTCAATAGTGACAGCAACTTTCAAAACTAAGAATGGCAGACAATTTATTTTGTTCTCCCGCCGTTTTTGTCTTACAGCTCTCCCTTTCTATGGAATGGCCATTGTTCCAATGCATCAAGATATTGGAGAAGGCGGCAATTTCTCCATTTTCTTTATCTGGGACATTGGGTGAGGCAATCAAAACCAGGCACGTTTCAAGATGTATGCCGGATCAACCAACCATCGATTATTGGAGGTCAGTTCAATGGATGGGCTTGGGTGAGTAGGGACATTCCTCATCACACGGCCGCCGGGTCACGCTGGTGTTCGAAACAGCGAGCAGAGCTGGACCCTCCGCGCCCGCTGCCCAACCGAACGCAGCGCGCCACGGAGCGCCGCGCGGCCGCCGCCGGCAACGTATGCTGTGCCGCATTACTCCGATGCGGCCGGTTAAGTGAGATTGTGAACGCAGGGTGGAGGGGAGATGGGAAGACCAGCGTGGTAAGCTGCAGGCCTTAAGGCTGAGCAGCTAGTATTTCAGTCATGTTTAGTCCCTGGAAACACATCTGTAAAATATCGCGCTCCGTCTAGCCGCGGGTCTGTCAATTCTCGTTTGTGTGGCTGCCATAAATAACTTGTAGCTATTCGTCTTAATATCAAAACATTTCAGGAAACTGAAATGCTACGAGCGCCAAACCGGTACAAGAAAGTGGGGATTTTGTCAGGCCAGAACGGCGCTAACGGAGATAACGTAGGCAAAAGCTGTGCAAGCTGGAAAATCTATGTTTTGAAAACCCGAATGAGCAATGCAGGCGTACCAACACGCAGTACTCGAGCCACGTTCTACATTTGGTAACTGAATACCTTGATATTTTGCGAGTGCCTTTATATATAAATAAGAATTGAAAATCATAACAAAAGCGGAAATGGCTGCCACGGTATAGCAGCCCATGGGGATCAAAACACAACACATCTCTGAAGATAAAAATCAAGGCGTGACACGCCTGCACTTTTGGTGAGCGCAGCTGAATCTCTTTTACACCCACCTGTGGATTGTCCTTCCTATATTCTTCGCACAGATAGTCAGCCAGCTTCAGAAGCAGCTCACGACCGAGTACTTCATTTCCGTGCATGTTAGCAATGTATTTGAACTCCGGAATCACTGGGAAGAGGTGATCCATTGAGGTGGCGAATTACATTTACATCATACATCGCACATTTACACAAATACATCGCATTTCGGATTAAATCCGAGCTGAAAAAGGTCGTTGGCTTAAATCTGTTTACGACCTTTGTCTGATGTCGCTTGAAGGCGGAATGTCCTGGTTATGGTTTTGAACTACCCAAAACATGGATGTGGCAACGGCTTACGCATGTAGCAAGCCTGGCGGCAATGAAAACAATTCATAATTGTTTGTTCATAAGTCAGCATGTTGTTCGTCCAACATGACATTGATCCATGCATTTGACGAAGCACTAAGGTTGTTATAATTTTGATTTAGCCCAGAACAATTTCAGGATGGGGACACTGGCTCATTTGAGTGCACGAGACTTCTGCACAAATTTTGATATGTGCTCTACTAATGGACTGCTGACTGTTTCGACGAATGTCTCATCAACAGCCTCAATTCACCACTGACTCAAGACAAAACGACGTATCTCCGCGCTTCCTAACGTTCGAATCCTCCTTCAAACACTGCACCTGAGCATAAAGAACATCTCCGCTGTCCTCCATTCCACCGGCTATGGAACTTCGTGTCGAGAGCATGCGAAGGCCAACCTGGCATCAGCAGCTCTCGCGGTACTCACGTGGAACATGCTTGGAAGGCTGCTTCCCGAGCACGATAACAGCGAGCGGAACGCCGCCGACCGACGTCTCTGAGAGCTCGTAGACGTCGGAGATCTCTGGACAGCGCGAGTGGACGTCCTCCAGGATCTCCAGCAGCTCCGTGTTGTCGTGGTGCTTGAAGACGAAAGCCTGGGCGTGCGAGCAGCACGCGGCCAGCAGCGCCAGGAGGGCGCAGAGGGGCGGCATGGTCTTCAGCAGCCGCTGCGCCGCGGCCGACAATTCGCACCGTATGGCCTGCGGTGCCGTCGCCACCGACGCGTCGCCCTCGCCGCGCAGCCGACGTGACGTCAGCGAATCAATGTCGTTGCCATGGCGACGCGTTGAGAGGTCGCCTCGCGGCGCCCACGCAGCGCTGTGGTCACAGATGGCCAAAGGTCCATCCAAGGCCGCTCGGGGCAGCAACAGGTGCCGACGGCCAAACTGGAGCGCGGCGGGAAAACCGTCACGGCCACCGCATGAATATAGCCGTCTATCGCTGACGTCATATCGGAGCGACAACAAAGTCGGAAAACAGACGGCGGTGGGCTCGCGGTCGCTTTGGCATGTCGGCTGCAGCTGCGGGGGATCGATCGGACTCAGTACAAACCAGTTCATCCATCTGTGCACTGACGCACCAGACCGACTCTCAGACGGCGTACGCGCGGTGTATGATGTAGTCATGCTGTGTTGGCGGTTGAGTTGTCGGGTTAGTGGCAGCGACCATTGCAAGTACGGGCAGGTGCCGCTGGTGGGAACGCTACCCCTCCCCTCCCGCGACATTGCTGGCCCGGGACCGGGCTGACCTTGACCTCGCCCCAGCCGAAGTCGGTCAAACGTGCGGGAACCATCACAGCCATATCGGCTCGGCTCGCGACCAGTTCAGGCGCACGTCATTCCATGACCTCATTCCATGACCTCATTCCATGACCTCATTCCTCGCGAGGGGTCGAGTCGCACGGTAAGGTGCAGGGGCCATTCTGCTTCTCCCACCCGTCCGATTGCCTCAAAAATGGCTATCGATTAGTTGAAAAATGAGCTACATTGGTGCAAAACGTAAATTCGACTTATTTGGAAAGAGGGCTCGCAGCGGGAAACTTTGAAATGCTGGACGTATTTTTGACCAACTATTGCTGCCGAATGCACATTGCACGAGTTTCTAACAAATAACGTGGTTCCATATAACTTTTCTTGGAGAAGCACAAAGACACATGCACAAAGGTTGCCATACACTGAGTCGCGTTTACAAAAAAGGGTGTGGACGTGAAGAATGTTGACAGTCGAACCTCGTCACCTTTTGCCTTTCCCGGGACGATTACTATAAAACGGATTTAGGGTGGTCTGTTATTGGTTTTGCAAAACGTTGTGCCCCGATTTATAGATTTAACGACGTGCGCTTTTTATGTTGGTTCCGCGAATGCTGTACGGGAATCTTGTTCAATGAATCTAATTGCCTTTTGCGTGACATTGGGAGCTGTTCCAGCCAGGATCTCTCGTCACCTTGCTAAACCAGACAATACTGGCTGGTGTTTAGTGATGCTATTTCATTAGAGAGTAGAAGTGCCATGGCTTGTTCCAGTGCATGGCTAGATGCGACATATCGTTTATGTATTACGGGTGACGACATGCGCTATTCTCTTTCCGTTTGTAGCAGGATCCCAGTCCTCCGCCTAGAAAGTATCATGGTGATTCAACTATTTCTTTCACTTCACGGCATTGTGACTTATCCGTAAATATGCTCCCGTGTTAGAGAAAACATGTTATACTTTAATTTCTCTGATATCTTCGTAGCAATAAGGTTTGACTGCGACAATTCGTTTGCTGTAATATAGTTATAGTCAGTATCTAGTTAAAGCTCATTTCGTCACTTATGCCGACATCAAATAAAAGCATATAGCATACAGCATGCTTGAAGGTTTAGCACGCTCATTACAATATTCTTTGACCAATTAGTTTACTATTCCAAATGCATGAATGATATATGAGTGCACCAATAATAAATCCATGCTAATGCGCACAACTGGCCAAAAAATTGAATACTGTAGGAAATCTAGCGAGGCATTTTCCGCTCTTTCAAAGCTAAACCTCCTTAACCACATGTTTTCCACCCAGGGAATTTGTATTGCATAGCTTAAAACAGTTCATATTTCGTCAAAATTTTGCAATTTTGCGCTGTCACTCACCGTTTTCAATCACTAAGACAGCAGCTGTTGTGCTGCCGGTTAACCACCAACCGCCCCTGGAGCGGCCTTTGCCGTGTCGACCGCACCCCCGGACGTCGGTGCCGCGTGCGGCGGTGGCGGCCGCGGCTGGCGTGGTGTTTGCTGTAAAAATCAGTCTCGCGTGACGACTCCTTCCATGCGCCCTCGGCTTAGCGTGCGCGACGTCATTTTGGTGCGTCGCGTGGCAGGAATACGTAAGTGTTCACCAGGCTGTCTGTGGATTGTCCATTGTGCCAACGGAGATGCTCGGCGCACACATAAAGTTGTTGAAGAACGTTTCCCGCGCATCAGTTTCGTATTTGTGACCAGTGACGCACGTTCCCTGTATGCCATCGATGCAGATTTTTTTTAGGAACGGATTTACAGCTTAAGTATGCCAGGCCACCCTTTGTCTCCATGCGGGCGACAGCTTACCTTTCGTCACCGTCCTCAGCTAAGATATTTTCTCGTCATCGTACTTAGCTAAGAACTCGGCTTAGCGGCATGCCGTAGATGTTATCTCGGCTATGGATAATGTTGGGAAGTCCCGGACTCCTTCTCCGCCCGACCACAACTACCGGCGTGACGTCCTTATTCGCCGTCACGACTGGATACTGATGTCGAGCTAAGCTGCCCTTTGTATGGAGCCCCAGCGGCCACAGCACCCATATTGGCGTGGTCCCAAACGTGGGAACCGAAGAAGCTAACCACTCAGCTATCACGCCCCCCCCCCCCCCCCAACCGGGAGCACCATCACTATCCGACGCCACCGGAGAGCTCCCCCACTAGAATGTCTCTGACGTGAGCCGAAAACAGCGTAAACTGAAGGTAACCTCCCGATGGGACGACTTTCACCGCTAAATCTCGGCGGCTGCTCACAACCCACCCCAGTAATCCGTATCCTGTCATCCCGTATCCCCTAATCTCGTATCCCGTCATCCCGTATCCCATCATATTGTACCCCGTCATTCTGTATCCTATCATACTGTATCCGGTCATTCCGTATCCCGTCATCACGTATCCATCATTCCGTATCCCGTCATCCCGTATCCCATCATCCCGTATCCATCATTCCGTATCCCGTCATCCCGTATCCCGTCATCCCGTATCCATCATTCCGTATCCCGTCATCCCGTATCCCGTCATGCTGTATCCAGTCATCCCGTATCCCGTCATCCCGTATCCATCATCCGTATCCCGTCATCCCGTATCCATGATTCCGCATCCCGTCATCCCGTCATCTGCATTCACCGGAAGTTCCGAAGTTTCGTGAAGAACGTCACGTCCGGGGAACAATTTCTCCGTGCGTTATTGCCCCGAGTTCGTTGGTTGCCTCCGCCGACAGAAAATAACAGCACCACCAATGCAGCGACGTAAAATGCTTGCATTTGGCGTTAATACATTCCGAAATTCATTTAAGATGCAGTATAATATTATTCATAATAAAGGAATGATCATCGAAAAGATCAATGATATGAGTATGAGCAATGCATGGAAAATATTAGATACATATGCGTATATATATATATATATATATATATATATATATATATATAGGTATATATATATATATATATTTGTGCACGTTTGCATGTATCATGTATGCATATATATATATATATATATATATATATATATATATATATATACATTTTTATACCGATACCAATCCTTTGTCGGCACGACGACACAGCTCTATGAAAATGGATCTTGCTGATGGTGGAGCCGTCCAGATGGGCGCCATTTTGACCCTAGCCCATCCCGCCACGCCCCTTTGCAGACCAGCGCTGCCCTGCAGCGCCCGCCGCGAACACGGCAGTTGGGTTTATCTGGGGATGAGGTTATTGCAGTTGGGTTTATTCATATTCGGGTGCATTCCATTTGGGTGTTCTAAGTTGGATTCACACAGGGGCGTGCCTCTCGCTGTTCGGTTTGCTCAGACTCGGGCTGATTCCAGTTGGGCTTCTTGAGAATGGGGTTTGTTTGTGTTTGAGAACTCTGGTCGGTGCGCTGCACAGTCTGGTTTATTTTGGTCAGGTCTTTTCCAGCCAGGCTTGTTCAGAATCAGTATCTTTCTAGAGAGGTCTATTAACGGAGTGCATTCGTTCTCTTTATGTGCTCACGGGCCGACATTGATAACAGGGTTGTCGAATATATAACTTGTAATCTTTCCGCTTGACTTAGAGCACTAGTTGGAGTTAAATGACGCCGAGCCGGGTCATTACTAGACATGTCATGCAAACCACTTGCATTGCACGGTGTAGGTATGCCATTGCTGTCTCACACCACATCTAACTTTTTTAGTTTGAGAATCAATGTTTCCACAGCTTCCCAGCTGATAGCTTGCATGCCAGCGTACAGTTCTTGAAACGTAGCACAGGGCCTAACGAAACCATGGCAGACAAGACTACATATCTGCATGCACTGCTATCGTTGCCGTGCGAATGCGATGCATCAAATCCGTCTAAACTGTACCATGATTGCAAAATATCCAGTTTGCCTCTCTCTAAAATGCAATCGAAGCGCCTGAAAGAGTTTCAACTTGCCAGCTATTTTGACAGATCTGACGGAAAAATGACTGTTTTCGCTGCTGTTTAGTTTCCGATTCCAAGTTGCCAATCACCTTACATTTGGTACCAAATTGCGTACCCGTCTTATAACCTGGCCACGCCAACGAGGGCAAAAAACACTATTTTCTCCTGGGACTGTAAACCATATGGTTTACAGTCCCATATGGTTTACCATGTGGTTTACAGTCCCAGGAGGACTACAGTACAACGATAACAAACTATAACTGTCCCCAGGAGGACAGTTATGGTTACTTAGGGCTGGTTTACAAAGTAAATGTCTTCTCTCCCCCACACAACACTTTCAGAGGTCTTCCCCAATGGCAGAATGTCTAGAAACTTTTTGGGCCTAAATATTTGGTGCGCACCATGGTCTGGGGCCATGTTGATGCACTAACCAAATCGTTCAGAATCTTCAGCCCTGCCCTATGGCACCAGTATGGGCCCCTCTTTCAGATCACCAGCAGGTTCACAGACCTCAGATCCAGTTGACGTCCAGACCATTGTGATGTGAACTGAGCAGTGTCACACGTAAATATGCATATATCGTTCAATCAGAGCACCTACACAGCATCAACGGATCAACACGCGACCTTATGACAAGCAACACTGACCCTTGACCATGATTCAGCGCAGCGTACGCTCTTGCAGGTAATGACTGATGGCGTAGTTCAGGACAGGAGCAGAAATCGGACGATTAGATGAAGCAGAGGGGATGGAGAACGCGGCCTTCCAGAGCCGTAGACGTTAGGCGTGGCCTCTTTCCAGGCACAGATCGACCCACAGCTGCTGTGTGCTGGCATTTGAGTCTCACCGACCTCCAGCCCCTGACCTTACCGTGAGCTATTGGCCTAGTTATCGGCAACGAAGACGCGTATCTGCGCCTAATGTGATGAGATAGGGCCCGTTTGTGTTCTGCCGGGACAACTCGTGGATAATTAGATCGAGAAATTGGCATGTAGCTAACCTGCAGAGACGTTGAAGGATGTCTCACTGCCAGGCCGGGGGAGGGCTACGAAGTTGGCAATAGTTTGAAATTCATAGCAGAAATTGACGAGTCCTTCGGTTTCGCGGGAACTTAAGTGCGCATTTCAAACCAGGCTGAGTCTCACATGCAAATGAGTGCTCTTCAGTAGATCTTTGCCCTCATTCCAGCGTCTGCCACTGTTGAAAGACCCCAAGCTATCAGCCCCGCCGCCTCTATAACAACACTCCGTGTGAAGTTCGGCGCCGGAGGTCTGCTGCGCCACTGTCTCAAACTCTGCTGAACATCTGCGTCAACCTCTGCCGAACTTCTGCTCCGACTTCCTGCCCGCCAACAATAGCGCCCAAAGCCTGACGCGCATCGACCGCCGGTCTGCGGTCTGCGGTGAAAGACCGACAATATTACTGAAGCCGCCGCCAGGCGCGCCGGGCTCACCACAGGTGTGCCACATGTGGCGCAAACAATCACGCTCGCCGCCGCGCTGGGTCGTCACGTCAGCGGAAGTTAGCGGTCTGCAGCAGATGTCCGTCACGCAGTGACGCATAGAAGTGGCTGACGTGGGGCCAAATGATTGGCAGAATATTTTCTGACATAGTCTGGGTTTAATAACGTTTTTAAGTCAGCGCTATCATGCAGCATGCATAGGCTTTACGGTAAGGTTCAGGAACACTGGTGCAGGATGTTCCGCTTCCTCAGAGGCATGACATCAAACATGCCACCCGAAAAATGTATGCCGACATCCGGCAAGTGCAAATGCAGACATGTTTGTATCATTATGTGATCCATCGGCTTTTTCCAAGGCTCAAGACATCAATACAGCGGCATGCAATACATTCATTTTTACGTCACTAGCCACGAAACATGCTCGGCTGAGTCGCGTCGCGGGATGGTGAGGCTGCGGTCAGCCTTTCTGTCTCGTTTCTGGCCGGAAAAGAGATGGAGCTGGTGTGGGCATGGGGCAGCAGTGACAACGTTTATATCCAAGGTCGATATAAAGTCCCGAAAAGACGTGGGACCCGACAGCATGATCGGGCCTGTTGTCATAAAGCAGGCCTTGCAGTCATAACGCTCAGTCATGGCATAACGCTTGCAGCCTATGTAGTTCGTAATCATGAGCATGAGCATACGCACCACGGACGATAATGTTATACCGTTATGCGATGTAGCTATCAACTGAGAATAAAAATAAACTAACAACTATTTTACACCTGTTTGTTATCATACACCTGATATTATCATGCGAGAAAATACAGCATTTTCTTGGATGGCCTGTACGTTGAATGCGGAAGCAAACTGAACTTGGTACGACCACGAAACCTGAAGTCACAATTAAAAGCGAGTCGGTCGACATTTCAGCCGTACAAAATTAAGTCAGGTTCGGCGAAACCCTGAGACGCAGAATTTAGAAAATATTGCCAACAGCTCATTATGTGAACCCGCCTAGCGCTGCAAAACCTTTCCTGCGTCTGCTAATTGCCACGAGCCAACGTCTAAGGCCTGGCTGCCTGATGCCGATTTGATTAGACTGATGTAGGCACACGCTTCTTAATGAACCTGACGTCACTCGAGCGTCGTTCTCAAGCCCGGCTTGTCTAGCGTTGCATATTGCGTGCACTATTCTGGTCGGCTGGGATGCCGGTTGTATCCCCATTTTCCTATTACAAGCTGCTTGAGCACGATATACACACAAATAACCTGGCGCGCTTTTCGCCTATTGATGCATTTTTGTCCCGTTCTTGTGGCTAGATACATCCGCGTCAGCAACGCTTGAGTGCTGCTGGAGTGACATAGCCGTCGCTCGTGTTCTCAACAAGCGCGTCGGAAATTATACAGGATGAAAGCTGGGACATGTTCTCATTTACCTGTCCGGGCATCGACAGCCACCTCGCGTTCTCTATCCGTGCAACCCCGGTGTGTTTGGCGTCAAATACATCCTCGCCGATGGACTCGTGGCTGTCCTGTGAGAGGGCATACACTGGCTTCAGCACAAAAAAGAGCAGCGGCTGAACATGATATTACCGTTCCTACTTGCCCTCTGGGTACACATCCTTGTAATCTGTTGCAATCCAGTACTCAATAAACATTGCAAAAGTTATATACGGCACATTCGTAGCAAAGAAAGCCACCTTAGCCGAGCATTGTCTCTCAAGAAAAAGTGGGACCTGCCGAATCATACTTCTGAAAAACCGCGAGATGGCAGTGCCAGTTGCCCTGGCATACTCCCAATAGGCTCATCCCGCAGTCGAACTGGTGCAATGAAGACAATCTTGTGGAGATAAGTTGAATTGACGGTCAGAAAAAGACTCTCCAACTTTAAGTGCTCTAGCTGTCGCGATTCACCTGGAAAATCGGCGTTCTTCTTCTCACTGTCCATCAAAAATGTAAGTAAGAAGCTTGTCTATATTCGGCCACAAGATAGTCGGACTCGCTTACATTATGTAAGCAGTGCAGAGTCGGGGCCCTGGTCGTGGTCGGGTCTAGGTCGGACCTAGGTCGGACCTACGGTCTGACGGTCGTGGTCGGACCTCGTCTGACGCTACGCAGCCTGCGTGAGTTAACATTCACCGCGGAGCTCTGGCGCGCGATCTCCGATCTTGCGGGGGCGCACTCGAGAACGTTCTACTGCGCGCAGCTCTAATGCATACGTGAATGCGTAACGAGGCAGCAGAAACGCCTTATGAAGCACAGCAGTTTCGTCATCTGATAAGGTGAACAGCTCACACCAACTACGAAAGGACGGCAAGGTATAAATCGTACAACCGAAAAACGAGCAACGACAGACATATAAATCGTGCGACCATAGAAAAAATGAAATGAATAATAGGAGTAACAACGAAGCGAACAAGTCGTCACACAACGTTAAAGATTTGGTGGGGAGATAAAACAATTACAAGAGGCCGCATCGCTCCAAGCACAACAATATGGTCAACGTCATTTGAAACAATTCCTTCTGTATGACGACCCTTATCAATTTTGAGACACGGTGGACCGCAATAAAAAACATTTCGGTAAGAAGCTGGTCATTATAACATTTTTAAAAGAGTTCTGACATTTCAAATCTGATAAAATTGTACTATATATATATATATATATATATATATATATATATATATATCGGTGAAATATCACGGTGAAATTTTTAGCAGGTTTCAAACTAAGATTATTATATATTAATAGGATCAAATCTAAGATCTAGCTCTAAGAACTTAAGATCTATGACATATTAGCATAATGCTATTCTGGTAAGACCTGATATCCGGTATTTCTAAAAGAGAAGGTCTCCGAAGCCTCAAACATGGGATCAAAGCCCGCCCGCCTGCACCGATGCTTGGCCTCCTGCGGACCACCGCCTGCTTCAGAATCCTGTCGAACCGCGGCGGCTTCCAACCGCCGCCACGTCGCCGACCTCACCGATCGCCGGCCGCGCCGATACCCGCTCGTTCCGAGGCTTCTGGCCGGGCGCCTTGGACAGGTGTCGGCGCTCTGGCCGGGCGCCTTGGACAGATGTCAGCGCTCCGGCCGGACGCCTTGGACAGGTGTCGGCGCTCCGGACGGGCGCCTTGGACGGTTGTTGGCGCTCCGGACGGGCGCCTTGGACAGGTGTCGGCACTCCGGCCTGGGCGCCTTGCACAGGTGTCGGCGCTCCGGCCGGGCGCCTTGGACAGGTGTCGGAGCTCCGGACGGGCACTTTGGACAGATGTCGGCGCTCTGGACGGGCGCCTTGGACAGGTGTCGGCACTCCGGCCGGGCGCCTTGGACAGGTGTCGGCGCTCCGGACGGGCACTCTGGACAGGTGTCGGCGCTCTGGACGGGCGCCTTGGACAGGTGTCGGCGCCCCGGCCGGACGCCTTGGACAGGTGTCGGCGCTACGGGCGCCTTGGACGGTTGTCGGCGCCCCGGCGGGCGCCTTGCACAGGTGTCGGCGCTCTGGCCGGGTGCCTTGCACAGGTGGCGGCGCTCCGGACGGGGGCTGCATTCCACCGCGCGGGGCCTGGTGGTCCTGTTTGCGAGGCGCGGCGCCCCCTTCCCCATCTCCATCGCCAAATCCCCCCCACCACCCGACAAGAGCATGGAGCGCGAGGTCTGCGACCCGGCGCTGCGGGCGTTGGGTGCGAAAGCAGAAGCGCCATCGCAGGCTAAACCTTCACCCCATCCTCACGGCTGCGAGGCGGAGTGAAGTCGGCGCTGTGAAAACATCGCCGAACACGCATTCCTTCCCAAGAACTGTCAAAGGCAGCACATGGACGTACTGAGTTCCGCGCGGTAGAGATGGCGCATTTGCTGCCATTCTGATCCTGAAAGCAATGATATTGCGTGCACGTCACAGAACCAGGCCTCACAGCTGGGTCATTCGTGCACACTGCGCAATAAGCCCGCTCTCCCTCTCTCGCAACTCAAGGTCACTCTTCTGACGTCTATTCTACGAAGCGCGGGAAGTCGGCTACCTATGGCCTTACCTCTGCAAGGTCGTACACGCGCGCCACCGCGGCGGCCGGCCTCTGAGTCAGCCTAAACGCCCCCCCCCCCCCCCTCCCCCCCCCGCAACCGGTCACCGCGCACGACGGCCACCGCAGGGTCTGTAGCCGATCCCCGCAGCAGAGCCTGCCGCCGAGCCGCCGCCTCGGGCGGGATAAACGAGTCACCTGCCGGCCTGGCAAGCCAGCCACCAGCGAGCGGCCCGCGCGGCGGCCAGTGCCGAGGGGTGGCGAGGAGCGAGCGGGAGTGCGTGGAGCCGCTGCCTGGGAGGGTGGAGCATCGTCGTAAGGACTGGCCGCTGCGGCCGGGAGGACCAGGCGCTCGCCACGAGGGCGGTGCTTGTGAACGTGAGGGCGAACGCCGCCGTGTGACGACGGGGATTCTGGGAGGACAGAGTTGGTCGGGGGGACAGATTTGGTCCGGAGGGCAGACGTGGTCGGGGGGACAGAGCTTGCCGAGAGTGCAGCGCGTGCACAAAAGCCTCCACCCGCGAGGACGAGCCCCGCCGCCCGGAGGACATCGGTAGCCATCGATATAAACCGGGCCGCTGATCGCAAGAAGAGATACAACACCCCGGCAGCGGTGACCACCTCGCCGCCATGCAGAGCTCGCTGCGCCACTCGCTGCTCTGGATGACACTGCTGGCGGCCACGACTCCTGGCCTCTCCGACTGCGACCTCCAGCCGCTGGTCGCCACTCGCCAGGGCCTGGTCCGCGGCGGCGTCGGCAGGAGCGACGCCGGCAGGATCTTCCACAGCTTCAAGGGCCTGCCGTACGCGCGCGCGCCGGTCGGACGGCTGCGCTTCCAGCCGCCGCAGCGCCACCCCGGCTGGGAGGGTGCGGCCGACGCGACGAGGCACGGCAGCCGCTGCCTGCAGTTCGACTACTTCCAGAACTTCACCGAGGACGGCAGTGAGGACTGCCTGTTCGCCAACGTATACACGCCGCGGCTGCCGGGGCCGCACGGCGGCGGCGGCGGCGGCGGCCTGCCGGTGATGGTGTTCATCCACGGTGGCGGCTTCACCGTCTGGGACGGAGACGAGCAGTGGTTCGGACCGCGCTACTTCATGGACGAGGACGTCGTGCTGGTCACCTTCAACTACCGCCTGGGGCCGTTCGGCTTCTTCACGACGCACGACCGCCACGCTCCGGGCAACTACGGCCTACTCGACCAGGTGATGCTGCTGCGGTGGGTGCGGGACAACATCGCGTTCTTCGGCGGAGACCCAGAGGCGGTGACCATCTTCGGCGAGTCTGCTGGCGGCACGAGCGTCTCGCTGATGGTGATCAGCCCGCTGGCGCGGGGGCTGTTCCACCACGCCATCAGCCAGTCTGGCAGTGCCATATCGACCTTCGGCGTCAGCGGCAGGCAGCAGGGATCGGCCACGAAGTTCGCCACGCAGCTTAACTGCTCGACGGAGGACGTGGCGGCGATGGTCGAATGCGTGAGAGAGGTGTCCGCGCACGATCTCAACAACGCGGTGAAGGAGCTGGGTGTCGCCAAGGTTCACTTTTACCCGCGCGTGGACCGTGAAGCCGACTCTCCGCTGCTGCCCGAAAGCCCGCGCTTGCTCCTGGAGAGAGGTGACTTCAACCTCGTGCCCTGGATCCAGGGTCAGACTGAGGAGGAGGGCACCTTGCTGATGTTTGAGTCGCTCTCGGATCCGGCGGTTATGGCGCGCCTGTTCGCCGGCAACCTCACGCAGTGGGGCCTCTTCGCCGACCTGACCACCGCCTCCACGTCTCGCATCCTCGACTGCGGCGCAGACCCGGCGGAGGAGGTCCGCAAGGTCTTCGACTTCTACGCCGGCAACGCCACGCTCAGCTACGACAACCTGCTGCCGCTCGCGCGCGTGGCCGGCGACCGCGAGGTGCTGGTGCCGATGACGGAGGAGCTTCTCCTCGCCTCGCAGCACGCGCCCGTCTACCAGTACGTCCTCGACCACCGCGGTGCCGGGCGACTCTCCTTTCCGGAGGCGGTCAGTCTCCTCAGCCCAGACCTCGGCCCCACGCACGGCGATGACCTCCTCTACCTCTTCGCCAACGAGCGGCAGGCGCCGCCGCCCGCCGGCCATGCCGCACACACCATGATCCGCTTCGTCGTCAGCTTGTGGAGCAGCTTCGCCCGCACCGGAAGGCCGCACTCCTCCGTCCTCGCCATGCCGGACTGGCCGCTCTTCACCGAGAGGAGCCGGCGCTACATGCGCATCAACAGCGAACCGTCGCTGGGCGAGCACCTGGGCACGGAGCGCGTGCGCTTCTGGCAGACGGTGCGCGTCAACGAGCCCTGGCGGCACCCCGTGCAGGCCTCCTGCACGGAGGAGGCGGCCGCGGCGCCCGAGGGCGAGATGTGAGCTGCACGCCCGCACGTGGGATCGGCGAGGCGCTGGCCTGTGTCTGGCGGCGGCGGAGGCCCGGCTGGGCGGCTGAGAGCGGTTTAGATCCGCTGGAAGCGGTTTAGATCCGCTGGAAACTGTTTAGATCCGCTGGAAGCGGCTTAGATCCGCTGGAAGCGGTTTAGATCCGCTAGAAGCGGTTTAGATCCGCTGGAAACTGTTTAGATCCGCTGGAAGCGGTTTAGATCCGCTGGAAACTGTCTAGATCCGCTGGAAGCGGTTTGGATCCGCTGGAAACTGTTTAGATCCACTGGGAGCTGTTTAGATCCGCCGGAAACTGTTTAGATCCGCTGGGAGCGGTTTAGATCCACTGGGAGCGGTTTAGATCCGCTGGGAGGTGGGCCTAATCTGTACATGCTGGAAGTGAGGTGGCCCCGCCCGGAGGCTCCTCTTCTCTCTCCCGGGCCTTACCAGACCAGGCGGCAGTGTGCACATCCAATTCCCACTTGCCCACGAGCTGCTCTTGATCTGTGCTGCTACGTGGCCTTCACAATCCCATCGAGTTTACCCTCCCGTCCGGTTTTAAAAGGCGCTTCGCTGGCTGCTGTTGACAGGTTTAGCATTCTGGTCTGCATTCTGGCACAAATGCGATCAGGCACAGACGCCCATTTCGAATGTCGCCCATAGCGCATGCGCGGTAATCGACTTCGCTGAACACGCTTGGGGAGTTCCCATTACAATCTTTGCGTGCCTATGGCGCACGCAGAGCGTGTGGCGCCATTCTCAGTCAATTCTCCTCACAACCGAGATATAATATACCCTAACTGATCTGTTGTTCAGATTTGCGCTCAAGAAAATACCAGAAGCTTTGTCAAGGACAATAAGCCAGATGGAAGCCAGAATGATGACACGATTTGGTGCTGCATTAGGTCGGCACGTCCCAAATGAGCTTAGCATTATGACTCACAGTCCACAGGCTAAATCCGCGTTTAATTTGTGGCAGTGAGCAACTCAACCGACAAAAAACCCGAAGCGGATTACCTCCGTCGTCCAGACGGAAGCGGCAGAGGCAGTGACATGAGGCCGTCAAATTTGCATGCGGGCGTAAAACCACCGGGCGGCGGGGACGCGGGATTGGGGCGACAGCTCGCCCCGCGTGACGTCACGACCGGTGACGCACGGGGAACAGATGGCGTCTCCGTCGCCGGCACAGACTGCGCCTCCGCGCGCGGCTGAGCGCTAAATAGCCCCAGTGGAGGTGGAGGCTGTGCGCGCCCCAGGGAACTCCACACCACATTTAAGACGAGGAATAAGTGACAGGGTAATAATGCCACTCAAAACCTTTTCCCCTCCAGGGTAATAAGGATAAAACAGTTATCAAAATGCTGACAATATTTTGTACGGTCTGAAAATGAAATAATCGCCGCAAATTGAGCACTGACATTTTTGGATGTGTTTACTGCTGTTGTCGTCTTGCAACCAGTTTTATACGATCATACCTGAAAATAACGTACCCTATCAAATGAGCTTTTAGCATGGGCAAGGTTGCTTCGAAGAACCCCGAATTCCAGGACCACAACTCCACCATGGCCGCCGCGCCTGAAACCAGCCTATAGCACATCAGTCAAGCATTTTGATCACGGTCCGTCCATGAGCGGTACGCAGTGTTCCGACGATTTCCTGCGAGCGGAGTAGGTGAGAGCGTGTCTGCAGGCATCCGCCGGCGTCCTTCCCCCTGCTCCGCTTCGGGCAACGCTCAGCAACAACTAAGGCCAATAACAACCAACAGCACACGGCGTGTTTTGAGGGGGCCGTTGCTAAGTAACCGCAAATGCCTACGCCCACGGGCTCCCGCGCCAGCTGCATAACCGGGCCGGGGGCATGGAATTATGCAACGGCGAGTTATTGGCCAGACCAGAGCCCAAACCCGAAATAGCCGGCGTTCAGTATTGCTCCACTCCCTCGTGACAATTCGTTGCCGGTAGACATAGCCAGGTGGGCGCTCAAAGTGGCAATCGATGGCAGTTTCCACTCGCGTCAATGGGATAATCTCGTGATATATATAAGTAAAAAGGTCACTAAATGCTGCAAGCATGGTCACTGATCTGGGCCACGGGGCAGTGCGGCAATGCATCATATACCAGTCAGTGGCTGCGGGCCACCGTTACCAAGTGAGAGATGTGCGACAATATCTTACGACGTGCCTCTCGCTTTTTTCCCTGGGAGGACCCCACTCAAACAAAGCCTTTGCTTGGTTGTGTACATTTTTATCACGACAAGCCGACCGAAAAATAACCATAAAAACAGCAATCCCACAGGTCTCGGCCCGCACATTACACGCCTCTTCCGCGTATTGGACCCGGTTCATCCCCCTCGTAGCGTGGCTTTGTACAAAGACCGAGCGGGGCCGCATCGCAACCTGTCCGAAACGCCAGTCCGCGCATGCGCAGTGGCCAACCGAGCGCAGGCCGGTCGGGTGATCGGACACGAGTGGGAGGAGCGCCCGCAGGCTGGCGACGCACGTGATCATCCCGAAACACACCGCAGGTTCGGGCTCAACGACTCGCTTATGTTCAGGACCAGCGGGCTCGGAGCTCGCTCGCCCCGAAACGCCACGCTGCGGCTTCAGAGACCCGCACGCGCGCGCCAATCGACACGAGTTCCGCCGCGTCACGACAGCCAACAGCACGACGCGTCCGGTTGCCATAACAACGACGACAGCCCGCAAATGAGCACAGACGCCAATGTCGTCACCGAGGCACTTGTGCGTCCGCCGCCTCGCCGCCACGCGTCGCTCTGCCCTCCGCCGCGCTCGGACGCCGCTCCGTCCCCAGCGTCGCGCGGAGCCGGCCCCGCCGCGACGCCAGCGCCCCTACCGGCCGCCGCGGAAGCCGCCTCCCCGGCCGCGGAAGCCGCCGCCGCCCCGGCCGCCGAAGCCGCCGCGGCCGCGGCCCCTGTCGCCGCCGCCGAAGCCTGCCTCGGCCGCCCCTGAAGCCGCCGCCGCCGCCCCTGCCGCCTGCCGGAGGGGGGGGGCGTGAGATAGAGGGGGGGGAGGGGTGCACAGTTAAATTTCGTCAGGTATCCAAGAATACTACAGGCTCGACAACAAAATTACGAGGTGCGTTCGGAAACAAAACCATCCCTTACCATACCACAAAAAGGCGACTACTCGCGCAAGCGATGACCCGTTCAGGCTCGCGCCGTTGCGACATTCTCATCAGTTTTGTTCTCCTATGACATGGTGGTAATGGCAGTGCTAGTAAATTACTAGTAAGTTACCTGCATTGCTTGCAGTAACACATTTGTATGCTGAGCCCTTTCAGAGACGAACGCATTATCGTGGTCGTGACAACTTTCCAGGACCCCAAAAGCGGTGTAAGTACACTGCCGATTACTCCTAACGGAAAGAAAATCCGTGGTCATCCAGAACTTTCTCATGAGCAGAAACGAATCAATGAAAGGACAAGGAGAAGTCCATGAGACCAACCTCGTCACCAACCCCTCGCGTGACTCACCGAAGCCTCCACGACCGCCTCCCCTGGGTCCGCCCCTGCCCCTTGGGCCGCCGCGGCCTCTGCCGCCCCTGCCGCGCTGCTGGCCGCCGGGCAGGAACATGCGCAGCGGCAGAATCTTCTGCGAGTCGATGTACAGCTGAAACAAAACGGGCGGCTCAGAAGGCGTCGCGTGGCGGTGTCCGATAAACGGGGGACAAACGCCGCCGGCGAAGAATTCACGCGGAGATTCCCCGGCGAGGGAAGGGCGAAGGTCGAACAAAGGTGACAAGTTCGCTTCATCCTCGGATGGAATTTCTCGTTCATGGCGGCGACAAGCATCACGTCCTCTTTCGGTCATTCATATGGATTTCAAAATTCGAGCAACTTATCGAACATCAGGCACCCCACGTTCGTATGAATTCGCTGTTCTGTAAGAGCATTGTTTTACACATGAACCCGTAACAGGACCAACCAAAACCAGTTTCATCCCACGCCGACCAAATGTTAACACATGACGTCATAAAAAGTCGGATCGTCAGAGCCTAACGATTTGTTAATGACCCCTGTCACGCTTCTAAACCAGTCCCTGTACGGTGTAGAGCGTCACAGCGCAGACCAAATTTCCAAAACGTCCACAACACCTCGCGGCACAACATTTGCTCTCGGCAGCGCTGAGTGAAAACCGCTGCCAGCATCTTGATTCAAGACAGCAGTCCGACGCCGTCGCCCAAACAGCACCGCCGCTCGTGCACGACAGCAAATGTCAAGGGCATTCGCAAGGGCGCCACAGGCATGCCTTGGTGTTGTTGCGAGACAGCGAAGCATTCCACGGCAGTCGTGCGTCGTTGGAGTTGGAGTTGACTCAGGAGAGCGGCCAAGGTTATGTCCCCTCAGCAGTAACACGTCTGCCCAGGGAAGCCTTCCGAAGAAGCGAGCAATGTCCGCTAATTTCATTAAGCAGTGCCTACGTTTAATTTTCTAATTTAACTAGCATTTTCATTGTAGACACCGTCGAGCCGTCGCATCGTGGCGTTTTTACACAGTCAATCACCCGACAGCAGCAGCGAGTCCACATGGGATCACGGCGCCCTTTAGCAACACTACGGTCAGATGACGGGTCCACCAAACTAATCGCCACAAATCTGACGGGTGTGTCGCATTCAAAACGAGCAGCTGGGGAACCACGTCATCCAAAGGGCATCCCAGCCGTGTGAGCGACGACGCGTCTACCGTCCCCAGGCAGCCCCAACATCCAAGGATACAGGCCCAGTGACGTAAGCACTGACCCAGTAACGTGAGCAGCCAAATACTGCCGCCGCCACCATCCGCACGGCGACACACGTCACACACCTGGCGGTGCGCCCACATCTGGCTGTCTCACGCCGCTCCGAACCGCACGCTCCGGCACGCACGCTCCGGCACGTACGCTCCGGTCCGCACGCTCCGGTCCGCACGCACTCCGGTC